TGCTGAGTTTTATTTCCCCTTCTTTTTTTGCCAGCAAAAAGTTTGTCCTCCGGTCAGCAGTGCGTTTTGACCACGACCATGTCTGCATCTTGTGCAGCCAATGAATTGAATTGTTGCTTGTTTTCTGTTTTCTGCATTTTGTTTTTTGCCCTTTGCTTTTGTTTATGCAGGCAGAGCATAAATTTTCTAAGGTTTTAGTTTGCGGAAAATTAATTTTTTTATCTGTGCTCCTGCTTTTGCCGTATTTGCTTTTATTATGTTTTATGTGCTGCACAGCCAGAAAAGAAAGGAAACAGAGGAAAGTGGAGAGAGTGGGACAAAGTTGATCACAAGTAAATTAAAGTTTTGTTTTGTTCGTCTGCCTGTTGGCTTAAATAGCCGGCAAAGTGTTTTCGTTGTCAGCTCAACTGGCCCGGAACGAGTCAAAGGGGAGCACATATAAAAATTTCAAACTCAAAGTAGCAAGCTTGAATAAAGTTGCACAAAGGTAATAAAGTAAATTAAAAAAATCAAAGTCAACTGAAATTTAGGAAACAAATGTGTACAAGGAATCTAAGAAAAAATTGTAATTTCCCTAATGTTATTGAGCTTCTCTCGTTAGTCCTTTGCATAAACTCAAAAGCACTGCAATTAAATTGCAATTGTTCGCGAGTCCCATTTGTCGGGTTAATAAGCAATTATGAGCCATCAATTGGCAGTGGCAAACAAGCCCGACAAGCCTTCCCTACGAGTGGCTCAAAACAAAGAAAATCCGCCGAAATGAACAGTTTAATTGGCTACGTCGAAATCGTGCACTCACCAACGAATCGTGCACTTCTGTTAAACTTTTATACAGCTGTGCTCAAAAATAGAGTTGTATTTTAAAAATTAATCACAAGTTTAGGTCAACCAGAGTGTAATATATTTGTTTAACTTCTGTAAGAAATAGACTAGTGTCCATTAGATATCATCTATGAGATATCAAACGTTGCAAGTTATTCGGAAATTATATCAATAAGATACCCGATCATTCTTTATCATATTTGATAAATCAATATATTACCGAATTGAAACATACCCTTAACACAGAGGAAAGCTCTTTTACTTTTAAATGTGTTTAGATATTTTTCTTATCAAAAGTGTTTGTTTCTCAGAAAACCAAAATGACTACTAGTAGTCTGAACACAGCTGTATGCATAAAGAGGCACTTACACACATGCAACTCCAAAAGCGGCGACAATTGTGAATGGCTTTTGTCGATGGGCCAGGTGCCACAGTGGCGAGGCAACAATCGCTGGTTGGTCCTGGGCAGGAGCCTAATCGGAAATGGCGATTTTCCGGTTCCGTTCTGGGCCATCGTTAACGGGGCCCATTAGGTGCATATGTGCGAATTTTCTAATTAAAATTTTTTGGCAACTCATTTTCCGTTGCTGGAGCAGCAGTGAGCAGGTGCAAATCGCATAATGGTCTGGTTGAGGCGTTAAAGCGAGTGAAAAATCAGTAGTTAACACAAGTTCCTGAGTGCTTTGGCAAATGAAATGATAATTGCATTTGGATTGCTAAGTGCAGACCAGTTAAAGACAGCTTTTTCTAATGATTAACACGCAGTAGGTATTTAAGCTGCGATACCGTAAACAATTATAACTCATAAGGAGGCTTTAAATGCATTCTTAGTATTTGTGTTATTGTTTTTCTTGTATTATTCGCATTAATTTGTATAATTAATTATATTATATATAACATTTAAAGTAAGCCCTAAACAGCTAACTAGCCTCCGGTTTTGACGAATGTTATTGTTAGTACAACAATTTTCAATAAGTTCTATAATAAGCAAATAGAACAAAGCTAATAATGAGTGAATTTAAATGGCCAACTAAACGACATTAACAATGGCCATAATAGCAGCTTCTCAGAAACATCTTATATTACCATCAAACCCATTAGAGCAGCGCTTATGCTAAATGCTTTTAATATGCCATTGGGGACCGAGAGTTTCCCCACAATTACATACATACATGCATTTGGAACCCTTAAACATGTTATTAAGCATATGCGTAGTTTCTTACAGTTAAGTTCTGCCATCGCCGCCCTTGCACCAATTTGGCCCAAAGCGAAAACGCTTTTGAATCAAGTGTGTAGATGGTTTTGTGGCCAGCACACAGACAAAAGGCGGTTTTGAAATTGCAGTAAAATAGGACCTCCTCACTCCATCAAATTCATTATGCAAACGGGTGGGTGTTTGTTTATGCACATGTGTGTGACTGCAGACACACTTAAACATATGCGAACATCTTAGGCTCTCTAATTAATTGTTAATGGGTAATTTGGACGGATTATTAGTGCTGTAACGATTTACAACGACGCCCAAAACACATCTCTCACTTGTGAATTATTGAATGGCAAATGGCATAATCTCATTTAAATTATTCAGCCATGCATATTGCCATCATCTGTTCGGCCGATTTCCCGTATATAATTTGCATAATGTTTTTAAAAAAAAACAAAAACAAAACAAGTCGTAGATTCAAGTTGATTAAGGTAAATAATGTGCTTCATTTTTTTAATAACTTCAGTCATGTAAGAGAAAAATTTGTGTAGCATACTTTCTTAGTACAACAATTTTGGGGGTAAAAGGGGAATTATTATTTATAATACAACTAGATTCCTTTGATTCATTTTTGTAATTTTTTCTGGTATTTCTTCAGACTTTAACTGCAATCTATTCGGGTTCAAAGAAACTTACGTAAATTGCGACATGTGTTAAATAAGTTCCAATTTGAAGTTGTCTATTTGAATTATAACGAACTAAAAATTATAAGGACTCCTGCTGAATTTAATTTTTACCTTGCTCCTAAGGGACTTTTAATTTGTTTCAATTACAGTTGAGATTTTCTCGTTCTTTCGCTCAACTTTTTGTTTTGATTCTTATCCTACTGTCAACACTTTTATGGCAAATTAAATTAAATCATAATTTCAATTACCAGAAAATTGACCACAAAAGGCGGCCAACGGTCATTACTCTGCACACAATGCTTTCCCGCTCCCGTTGCCGCTCAATTCATTAACACTTCAAAGTTTTCTTGCCTCAATCCAAAAAGGAAGAACGGGAAAGGGAGATGCAGAGAAAAAGAGTGGGGGATAGCACGCAACAACACTTGAGGCGTTCGTTAATTTGTTTGACGAACAACAAGCTGCTGTCGCATCTAAGGTTTTCGCGTAGACCCCTCCACTTCGAACATTTCCTACAGAAAAATTTCGCAGCCTCCGGCAAAAGGCAAACAATAAATAAGCGCAAAAGAGCTAGAGCTATTCTGCGAGCGAGATGGCGAGAACGAGAGCAAGATATATATAGAGCACCCACAACCGGAAGAAACTATTGTTCCGGAAAAGTATGCCCAGCTAGTTACGGGCGAAAAAAAGCAAAAATAATTTCGCACAAACTTTTCTGTTTAGTCAATCATTTTAATTAAGTAATTTTTTTTCGCGTTTTACTTGTCGTAAAAGTTTTAATAGACGACCAGGAGGGGTGAAAGGGGGTGGGTGGTGTGGTTGCTTTGAGGGTCGGAAAAATCCTCAACTGCATTTTGCGGTTAATTATAATGTTGGGCCTGATTACATTTGCCATGTCGGCGTCCACGACTCTCGGACTCTTTTCCCTGGTTGGTGACTTTCAGTTAATTGCCGAGATTTGAAGTTAGTTAAATGTGGCCCAAGTTCTTTGCAGCCGCCCTTGTTTTGCACCCCATTCTAGTTCAGGTCATCAAAAGGCTATAAAAAAGTTGCTCGAAACTTTTATTAGCTGCTGATCAGACTTCGTAGCCACTTTTCTGCCTGCCCAACTCTCTCCAGGTTGTTGCACATTTCTGCCGACCGCGTAATTAATTAAGTTTAGTTCTTGCACCAAGCGAATTTAAGCGAAATCAATAAATCAGCCTGGTCGATGCAAATCCGAGTTTTTCACTCAGCCCCAGGGGAAGAACTATCTCTGGCACGCCCACCGCCCCGAACGTCCGTCCGCTGATGTTGAGCAACTTTTCGCCCGCCCACATGAATCGAAGTTTAAGCCACCAGCCCCCCAGGTGGATGCACCTTGCATTTTAAGTTCCACCCGAACATCCATCCCACTTGTCCCGCAGCCATACGCTTGATTTCCTAACTAAGCACGCAAATGAAGCGTGTGCCCATCAAGGATGCGACTCTATCTCTCTGCGGTTGCACATGCCAGTTATACATATACAGCTGGGTGCGTATATATCCACCTGGCGAAGCGGGCCGAGGCAACAGAAACCAGGAATAGTGGCACGTGCAGGCGCAGGGAAACAGAAACAGTCGGCGAGAAATGGGGAAAAGCGAGCGAATGGAGCTAAACTTGTGTTTAATCGTTGAAATTATACAATTCCCAGACAGTGGGCAACGACTGGAACAGTGGTTGCAGATTCGCAGATAGGCATGTGTAGAATAAAGAAACTAAACCTATGATTTCACATATGTTCGTTATAAATAAAGCTCTTTCATAGTAACGGAAATAATAAATTTGTATAGAATTCCATTACATGTTTTTTTTATAGCATAATTTCCAGTTTAAAGGGTTATGTGTTTGGTATCCCAATTAAAGACTGGTAAAGTTTTTATGTTGGTTTTGAGTAAAATAATAAAATAAAAGAAAGCTATATTCAAAACCAGCAATGACCCACTTTTGGCCCCCATATGTTTTAACAAATCAATAATTTATATTTTTCTGGAACTTAAGTCACTAATCAACTGACTTACAACTTGTATTTAAAGAAGCCACTAGCTCTTGAGCGGAATACACTTAATATCGTTTCGACCAATGTCAGCATTCAGGCCAAGCCAAGCACACCTGACAATTTGGCAGTGCCAACTGCCGCCTAAGTTTATTAGAAGCGAAGCGACGGGTGTGGGTAAACAGAACGTGCTGGGGCAATTAGCAGGTCGCACATCAAGTTCTGACACCTCCCAATAGTCGACTGCGATGTCCCATATATATAGGCCAAGCCACACTCGCCAAAACTCAGTTGATGTGTGTGGAAGTTTTGTTTGGTCCAATCGACCGGCTAACAGGAATCGAAAAACCAGCAGGAGAGCCCAATGGCGGCCACCAAGTACGACAGCTTCGAGAAGATATGGTCGGGCCCGAAGGACAAGGAGTACTATGGTCCGGATATGACACTCGGCGAAGTGGCCCTGATCATTTTGCGTCTCTACTCGGACAAAGTGATGCAGGTGTTCGATCCCACGGGCGAGGAGCTCACAGGTGGTCAGCTGTTGGAGCAAAGTCGCCGTTTGGCCCACGCCTTCCAGCGCCTGAAGTTGCAACGCGGCGATGTGGTCGGCATTTCGGCCAGGAACACCACTTATCTCACTGAAGTGGTCATCGCAGCGCTGCTCAATGGAACACCCATCAATCCACTGCATCCTGACTTTGACCCTGGTAAAATCTAGTGAACATGAATACTTTTAATTTAGACAAATTAAAATGCAGACATAATCCCTATTTTCATGCTTTTCATGAACAAAAGATTTACGTATATAAACATTCACATAACTTCACTCCCAGAAACCACAGCCTATATGTACGAAATCACAAAACCCAAGGTGATATTCTGTGATCTGGACAACTACCAGACCTTGACCGCGGTCAAAAGCAGTCTCAAGTTCAAAACGGAGATCATCCTGCTCACTGGAACCCTGCCCGGAGTGCGCAACATTCAGGATCTACTGGCAGATGGTGGCACTGGATACGACGAGAAAACACTGTAGGTAGATCTCGTCCCAGACGACGTTTGGAATAACCCTTAAAGCTGGTCCCAATCTTTCAGCTTTGCCTGCCCGCACTTGAGTGGCGATGATACGGCCTTCATCATCACCTCCTCGGGCGTAACCGGTTTGCCCAAGGGCGTAACCCGTTCGCATCGCAGTCTCCTGAACAGCGCCAAAATGTGAGTAGTACCTAGTTTCTTGTTGGTGAAACAAGTTATCCAAGGATCGTATATCAGCCCTCAGCTCTTCACCTCGGAGACAGTGCTGTTCTGCATCAGTCCGCTCTACTGGATTAGCTGCATCTTCACCCTGCTTGCATCGCTGGTCAATGGATGTCGCCGGATCATTACCAATCGTCCCTTCAGTGTGGAATACTTTGCGGACCTGGTGGAGCGACACCAGGTGAGCTTCGTACTCACAGTGCCCCACCACATGGCTCTGCTGGCCAAAAGTCCGGAGCGACAGGAGCTGGCTGCCAAGATGCAATCCGTGCAGTCCCTCGTGTGCAGTGGCTCGAAGGTTCCTCTGGGCATCTGGCGGCAGTTGTACGAGCTACTGGGTGCCGACAGGTTTGCCGTGCTCTACGGTCTCACCGAGTTCGGAGGTATCTCCAAGAATGTGGGAGGTCCGTTGGGCAGTGAGGGCAGACTGCTGCGAAACGTCCAGGTGCGACTGGTGGATGGACACGGTCAGTCCTTGGGTCCCAACCAGACGGGTCAGATCCTCGTGAGACTCAAGCTGCGCTGGGGCGGCTACTATCACAACCCACAGGAAACCCAGGTGACGGTTACGCCCGACGGTAAGTGGCTGCTCACCGGGGATCAGGGATACTTCGACGACGACGGATGCCTCCACTATCAGACCCGTGACACCGATGTCTTCAAATATAACCACTTTCCCATTTACCCCAAGCAAATCGAGGACGTAATTCTCCACCTGCCAGGAGTCCGTGAGGCGGCTGTCTTTGGGATTCCCGACGAGGTTTCCACCAATCTCACAGCCTGTGCTGTGGTCCGGGATGAAAATGAGCTGGGTGAGCAGGTAACCGATGCGGCTGTCAAGGCCATTGTGGAGCAACACCTTAGCGAAGCATTCCACATCCGAGGTGGAGTGTTCTTCGTGGACGATCTCCCGAAGACGCAAAACAACAAGGTGCAGCGCAGGAGAATCTGGCCGGAGTTGAGTGAGGCAACCACCCATCTGTGAGGTTATCTTCTTATTGAAATAAATGTCAGCTGTTAAAACAAAATCTGGTGCTTTATAAATGTAAACACAGTGACTCATCCGAAGAGTTGTCCAAGAAATTGAAAAGTTTCCATATCTGCCTTGTCTGGTGGATTGCTGGTTTTGATTAGCGGGATCCAGAAGCGGGCCCGACATGCCAACGAGCAAATCAGCATCTATTTTGGTTGACACTTGGCGTGCCCGACTAATTAACAGCTCCGCTTTGTTTCCCGTGCTCCGAGTGCCATATAAAACTCAAACGAGGCGCAATAAAGCACTTATTCGATCGTCAGTCGTTAGGAAGCAATATGAGCTGCGAGGTGCACTACGATGCCGCTTCGCGGACCTGGTTTGGACCGCGAGGCAAGGACTTCTACGGTCCGGAGATGACCCTGGGCGAGATCATCATGCGCGTGCTGCAGATCAACGCCGACCAGGTGATGCAGCACTGCGATCCCACGAGCCAGGAACTCACCGGCGGCCAGTTGGCGCAGCAGAGCGCCCGCATCGCCCAAGCCTTCAAGCGGTTGGGATTGCGGAGGGGCGATGTCGTCGGTATCTCGGCGAACAACTCCACCTACTTGACCAGCGTGGTCATCGCGGCTCTTCTCCGGGGCATCCCCATTAACCCACTGCATCCGGAGTTTACAGAGGGTAAGCCAACTGGTGTGAAAAATGTCGATTGATTGAAAAGTTCAAATTAAACGTTTTTAATTTTTTCATATTCTCGTCTTGTTGAAAGTAGGTATTAGCATAAGCTTCTGTGTTTATCTAATGATGTCTACCGTTCTGCTACTTGATATTTACTTGCTACAATAGCAAAAAGGAAACATTTTGAATGGTATTAAGGAGTTCTACACCAAACAAAAAAGCTTTCTGACTTACAAAATATAAAAATAATAAATTAAAACAAATTAAACTTGTGTGCTAATGCTTTTGGTAACAAATTTCAATTATATTATTCGCTCTAAAATGTACCTAAATGTGCCTTTTCAGATACCGTCAAATATATGTACGACATCACCGAGCCGAAGCTTATCTTTTGCGATGTGGAGAATTATCATATAATAAAATCGGTCAATGAGAGATTGATCAATCCCGCTAAGATTTATCTGGTCAATGGACAACTAGAGGGAGTGCTTGATATCAGCGTGCTGCTCAATGATGACGAATGCATCACAGCTGCCGCGTAAGTGTCTTCGTTCTTCATAAAGAAAAGAAACATAACTTCATAACTTCATTTTAGTTACGTGCCCTGTCCAAAACTGCATGGTGATCATACGGCATTTATTGTATGCTCCTCGGGAACTACGGGAATGCCCAAGGGTGTAACGCGCTCCCATCGCAGTTTACTCTGCAATTGCAAAAAGTAAGTAATGATGGGTTGCGTTAGCTAAATTTGAAAACTAGGGTTGTCAAGTTATTTTTTTTTAACATTCGTAGCACAGCTTATCAAAAGTAACTGAACAACAAAGACCGTTCTAGAATTCCGGGAATTTTGGCTAAAAACAAAAGATTTTATCCCTTGTTTATAAGAATGTCGTAATTCGTTTTAATATCATTTAATTGCAGTCCAAACACCTACACCAGAGACAGCGTGCTGCTCTCGTTCAGTCCGCTCTACTGGATATCGGGAACCATAATTCTGCTGGCCTCCCTGCTCAACGGCTGCCGTCGCATCATCACCAATAGGCCTTACAGTGTGGAGTACCTCCTCCAACTGGTGGCTAATCACAAGGTGACCTTCCTGTTCCTGGCCTCCCACCAGATTGCCCTGCTCTCCAAACATGACAGCGATCTGATGGAGCTTAGGGCTCAGCTTCAATCGATTAGGGTTCTGATTGGAGCCGGATCCAAAGTGTGCAAGGCTGTGTCCCGACGAATGTACGAGCTGATTGGAAACCAGAGGTTCATCGTCGGTTACGGGCTCTCTGAGATGGGGGGACTGAGCAAAAACGTGGGCGGGCCGGTGGGCTGCGAGGGCAAGGTCATGCGAAATGTGCAGCTGCGCGTGCTGGACAAACTGAAAATGCCTCTGGGCATCAACGAGGTGGGCATCGTCTATGCCCGTTTGCGGTACAAGTGGGAGGGCTATTACCGAAATCCGGAGGCCACTAAGAGAGCCCTCAGCTCGGATGGCATGTGGTTCCGTACCGGGGACATTGGATACCTTGACAGCGAAGGCTACTTGTACATTCAGACACGGGACACGGACGTCTTTAAGTTCAACAACTTCCAGATCTACCCCGAGCAGATCGAGGAGTTCATCCTTAGGCTGCCCGGTGTGAGTGAGGCCTGCGTCTTCGGAATCCCCGACGAGACCTCTACCAATCTTACTGCCTGCGCTGTCGTACGGACTCTGGGCCTGGAAGGTGAGCGCCTTACGGCAGACCACATCCGAAACATAGTAGAGCGCCACTTAAGCGGAGCTTACCACATTCGAGGGGGAGTCTACTTTATCGACAGTTTGCCAAAAACTCCCAACGACAAGCTGCAACGCAGAAAGGTCCTGGGCCTTGTCCAACAACTGAAAATTGAAGCCCAATAAAAATTAAATTAGTACAGATTAAAACAAAGTTTTTCAATAATAACAATTTTAGATTAAACATTCTCCAACTTAAGAAGTACCATACAATCGACAACATTGTTCCACTGTGCGTGCTTAAAGGCTGATAGCTAACTAATGCCGGGAACTCAATGAATTCAAATCGAGATTCAAATTGTAAAAGCCCTTTCTAAGGCCTTGCAAGGATGGGGGTCGACTTCTACGTAGCTGGGAGCCCTGGGACCCTGGCCATTGCCAATGACAAGCAATTTGTTATTTGTGGCACCCCTGCGGCTCCAATTCCAGTTGGCCGGGGCGTAAAAACATCGACTCGGACAGATATTCTACATAAAATGAATTGAAAAATTAAAATTGCAATATGCATGGGGCAACGGGCAATGGGCAATGGGAGATGGACAAAACATACATATTTTATTGGTTTCTGTTTCTGTTTGGGGTTTTTAGGACTTTTAGGATCGAAGCCAGTCTGCACAAATTCAACATTTGACAAATTCCGAAATGAAATGCTGGACAAAACATGATTCAATTTGCCTTTTTCCCTTCCGTCGCCGTAGAAACAGCGTAATGGCATCAGTTAGCTGGAGGGAGGAGACTAAGCCCAATGGCCATATGGTCCTTTCGGATCGGGCGGACTTGGCCTCCTGGTTCGGTCTCATTCGGTTTCTGTGGCCGTCTGCATGCTGCAACTAATGCGGATTATCCCGGGGCTTTGCAAACTGCACCCAAGGTGTAAATTTGTGTGCCAGGGATTTGCATGACCAGCGAATAACTGAATGAATCAAGGCAGGAGGAAGTCGGTGAGCGGATGAATGAATGGGTAAGTGAATGAACGAGCTGAAGGCGAGTGAGTTGCTTAACAATTTCCGCTTAGGGGATAAACCAAAGGAGGTCAACATCCCTGTCTCCCTGTCTTCTAAGCCTCTTTTACTTCCTGCATTCGAAGGTTTAGTTTTTTTTTTTGGCCTTCCCCTAATAACAAGTTACCAAAAAACTATTATTTTGTTTTGGTATAGCCTATTTGAGAGTTTTCTAAATTTATAGTAAGTTAAATGAATAAGAACGCGAAGCATAATGCTTACTAATAATACGCGTTACTCGTAGAGTAAAATGGTATAGTGTATTCGTTGAGAAGTATGTAATAGGTAGAAGGAAGCGTTTTCGACCCAATAAATTATATAAATTCTTGATCAGCATAAACAAAAAATGTTACCATTCAAGGGTAATAATAATAAGGGAAAATCAAGGTTTGGTCTCTAGAGCATGTTGTCGATTTAAATTTGTAAGCCAGTATAATTTGTAAAGCTCCACTGTTTAAAGTTTGTTTGAATAAAAGTCTCAGTCAAAACCTTTTCAAATATTATACAAAAAATATAACAACTTTTAATGTAAATATTTTCCTAAAAGAATTTTGCTAGATTATTAAGTTCATTAATAATGTTGGAAAACAAACTTCATTTCAACTTGAAGCTTTCAGAATTTGTGTATCATTGCAAAAATATTTTCCTTTTTTTTCGTTTTTATTACATACGACATACCTTAATCTCAGAATACATTTTTCAACAAATCTGACCACACGTTTGACTGAGAAATTCAACTTTAAATTTATTTGCTTTCCTTCAGTGGCTCACTTTATAAAATTAAAATTTTCAAGTCGACAGAAGAGCGGTCAAGTGTCCCAAGACAAAAATGTGCGAAAACTAAAAAGGCATTCTTGTTTCAACTAAACCGTATCTTTTAAATGCCTCTGCTGAAACTATTTGGCTATGCAGTCGCATTTGGCCAGCAGGTAAATATTATGAATATATAAGTAGCATTGTTTGCATTTTATTTGCTCTGCATTCGACAAATATTTTCAGGAAGCGAATAGTAAAATTGTATACTTTAAATTTTCATCAAGGAAATGCGCAGCATATGGAATCATGTAAACAAGAGCAGCCATAAAACCAACAATAACTGTACCGACAAGTACGGAAAGTGCAACAATAACAGCTCCGAACCCACTCAACCTCAACCCATCTGAATTCGGGACATATAGAAGTTTTCTTGCAATCAAACAAACATTTTCGGTTGTACCCAGGGTGGATCTGCAGAGGGCACAGCCAGAACACGGAATACCCCGCATATGTCCTGCGCCACTAAACATGTCCTGTGCCGCGATCACTCAACTCGCACATCTGCCGTGCGTTGATTTCGCCCTTTGGAGGGTTGAAATGTTTGGCCAGCTCATAGTGGTGGCAACAATTAAAGCCACACAGCAGTTGGGCAAAGGGCCGTTACTTTCGATGGTGCTCATGGCACACCTGGACTAAGGGAGTTGAAAAATCTACTGGCACAAGCCCATTCATTGCAAACGAAACTATGAACTTGTTTGTTATCATGGGTTTTATGTTGTCAGTTTGGTGCTTGCTCAAAAAATATCTGAAAGGGTATGGAAGTAATTTGGAAAATATTAGTTTGAC